CCCCCCCCCCCTTTCAAACCGTGCTGCTGGATTTGCTCTTAGAGCATCCACAATCATGCTATCTACTTTTTAGTTAAATTTTAGCTAAAAACATATGAAAGTTATTTTAGGAGTTCCCAATAAAATTTAAACTTCAATCATGCTCTCTAATTTAGGGAGTCATAAATGCTATAACTCTTTTTTAATTAGTCAATCTCTATTAAAAAATAATATAAACAATAGTTAGCATTAATTAAAGGTTTGAAATACTAATTAAATAAAGCAGCATTAAATTATAGGAAGCTACTAGGAGTCATTTCTATCTCCTCATATTTAGGAGATGGATAAGAAGCATGGTTGGAGTTCTATTTTTCTAATTCGTCTCTAAAGTTAGTCTAAAGAGACCCGTTGTGGATGCTCATAGCAACACAAGATTCAAGCGACCAAATGCTGATTTTAGGGTTGGTTTAGTGAGCTCGGCGGATTTGAACACAACGTGGAGCTTCAAAAACTAACACTTGCATAATAAAGCCCTTCACTATTGTAGCCGTGCAAGAGTTGGAACCAATTGCAAAGGGTAAATTTCACTTCAACACCCCAAAAACTAAATTTTGGGTACGAATTTGACACAAAATAGTAAAGCTTGAAACTCGGCAAATTTTCAGATAAAAAATGAAATTTTCCCTTTTATTTTTAATGGGACTAGGAATTTTACAATTGACAAATTGAACAGCAATGAATAACTTGATATGGAAACCAGATTGGTTTGGAAGTCAACAAATGCAAAAAGTCTATTTTCATACCACTATCAAAAGAATTTTACAATTGAAGAAAACAATACATATTCCCATAATTATGCATATATAAAAACACCGCATAATGCTTGCTACACAGCGGTGATCAAGGATTAAAATATCGGCCGTGTAGATAATATCGGGCCTCCAATTTACAGATATTTCGAGGGATATATCGTTATCGTTTTAGGTATCGGGAAAAAATCAACAAAAATGATAGATATAGACATTGAAACACATAATTTTGGTGTAAAACTTTCATAGATGTTATTTACATTATCAATGAATGTATTGAACAAATAAAACTCAAAATTTACTAATAATAAGATATACATATGATGAAATATAAGTGGTATGTAATGCGCGTTAATGAAAAGTTTGAAAATAAAATATTGATTATAATGAATAAACCATGCATAAATCCTTAGTTTGTTTAAACATTGGATTACAATTTAGATAAGTGTCCATCTACATAAATGAAGAGCTCCTATGAGGTTGAAACAATGAGGGACAACTTTGTAAGCCATGTGTTGAACATGGTGCACATACGTCTTTCTTGAGCTCCCTAATGTCCTATATATGGGATAGTTAGGATTAACCAAACTAGTAGATCCATAATTTGTTTCATCATCTTGAGCTCCATAACTAGTTCCACTATAATCAAACATGACATAACCATAGCCATCATAAGATTCATTTGAGTTAGTACTAGGTCTAGTTCCTATGCTCATAGATACAAAACTGATCGCCATGTCCTCTTTAGATGGATTGGAGGTATGTAGGCAGTGGACTGTGCATAAATTCTTCATATTAATAAATTATAGGGTTATGGGCTAGGATTAGCTATTTTTGGGTTCTAATTTGCTTCAATTACCTTCAAAAATTCTGAATTTTTCTGTGGTTATGTTATGGGTATCGGTAAATATCTGGGATATCGGCAAAATATCGAGGATATCACACTTATCGGGGATATATCGTCAATACAAGGGAAGATATGGCCTTACCCCCCAATATCGATGTCGACAGTTGAAAATATCGATATATCGGTGTATCGGCCGATATTTCAATCCTTGGCAGTGATCAGCCATAAATAAGTAGCATACAAAATTCTTGAGATAAAGCTCGTCTGAAAGAAAATGCCCATGCTAACATTACGTCTATGGACTACAAAAGGCGACCATATCTGGCACAAAACCATATGACTACATCATTGGACTTGTAATTTGTGGCTCGAAGCTACAAAGTTGTCTCATCCTCGAAGGCCTAAGGCTGTTAGGACGTCTCATCCTCCAGTACGAGACTACTCGGATGTTTTGCAGCATGAGAAAGCTGTGCTCATGTGTCCGCTTTGGTGGCTGGAAGCTGTTTAGGTCTTCAGTGGCTAGAAGGTGTTTAGGCCTCGTCGCCTTTCAACTCTTCTTCAGTAAAAAGATCTTTTTGGACAGGGATACTACTTAGCTGCTGAGACGAAATAATATCCGCAATGGCTTTGTAAGTTGACTCCTGATTGCTATCTACGGCGGTGTCGTTTTCTATGTTATTGATACCAGGCTCATCTGATGGCAATTCTCTTTCCGGAGGGGTCACAAAAAATGGTATCTTACCCCTCTGCCAGTCATGGAGGACCATCTTTGCCGCAGTCATCAAATCAGGTTCACCACCCTAGAAGCAGCCCAGCAAAAAATTCAGCACATGCATAACTAGGATCTTTTCTGTTATATATTCAAGGAGGAAAAAAAACAGGAGATAGCGAACATTTACAGAAGTTTCCATATGCCAGATCATAGATGGGCATAACTTGGGTCCAAATCATTGTCTAGCATCACAAGGAATAAACAATGTTCAACTAGCCCAAGGGAGGGAAAAAGGGGATGAAAAAGAAGATATAAATAACACCAATCATGTCAATTGAATTACGAACATGCAACTCTTTTGCTTCACTTTTCACAGAAGCCAATTCCCTTGCAGGGTTTTGGTTCTGTTTCATCAGGGCATACACATATCTATCACAATCCCACAGCTTGACAGAGTTAAGATGGGACCCCAATTGTCTCCAAGGGGAAGACAATATACAAATTAAAGGAAGAATACCACACTTGGAATTTGCATAACTAAGATATCACTTATTTTCTTCCCTTATACATCCCTTATATACATACATCTATATATAGTGTTCTCTGCCAGACTTATGTTGCAAGACTATGAATTTGGGTCACACATTCAGATAAAAAGTAGATAAGAATTAACCTAAGAAATGGGTCCACATTCACAGGGTAAAGACATATTCCAAATACACACGTGTGTGTACACTGTGTATGCATATGTGTGTAAATATGGAAAACATCCATTTGATAATTGACTGGGTCTGAATTGGTAAATACTCCAAATATTTGCAGGAACTAAGGGCAGAAATGTTACAACTACTGGGATAGTTAGAAAGCATCATTAAGGAGCTAGTTACCTTCAAAAGTTTGCCTGACAACTTGCACAGCTGACAGAGGAAGTCATTATCATCATCCCTGAGAACAAAAAAACCATTATATACGTGCAATTAGCAGGATTTGTATGTGAACAAAGAAATTACAAAGTACATAGATTAATAAACTAAATTGATTGCAACCCAGATTAAATAGGAGTAACAAAATAAAAACCCAACAACCTCAATAGAAAAGAGAGTAAGATAATAACAGCTAACACGATACTAACCCCGTTTCAGTTATGCTAACAGAAAAATCCTGACTCAATTAAGTTGCATGAATCATTAAAAAAAGTTTTAAAATTTTGGGTTATTTTTTTACATTCACAATGTCCGTTCTTTAGGATCTTTACTAATTTTTGGTTCCAGAGAACCACTGTGCCTTCTGTCAATCATATTTGATTTTTCCTGCTAAGGTGTAGACCATGCCCAACACTGACCATGGTTGGGAAATTGGAGAGACCACTCGCAACCAAAAGCTTAAACAGGTACAAAACACTAGAAATTTTATGCAGTACCAAGACATAAACATCAAAATCCAACACACAGACAAAGCAGCATACCAGGTCTTTATCTTATATGCTCTTTCCAGGTGGATCTTCTTAACTCGTTTTAATACTTCTCCTATATGTTCTGTAGCATCCTCCAAATTTGTGACACGTACCTAAAAAAGAGGACCAAAATTATTTACCATCTGATGTGCATATAGAATATTACATTTGCAGTCCAACAACGAATGTGGGCTCCAGGTCCACAGGGAAGAAGAAAACAGAAATGATAGACTCTAAATGGATTAAATAAACAAGTGCAGTACAGAGGGAAAAAAAAACTCAATTCACTATGAGCAGCTATACAAGCAAAAAAAGGAAAAGCATACCACGCCCTTCAGTACAATATCTGTTTCAGAGTCACCGCTTTGATAGACAACTCCAGGGCAATCAATCAAGAAAATCCTCTTTGTGAGTGTTATATATTGCCACACTTTAGTCTCCCCTGGAATAGGAGCAACCTTGCAAACCTGTGGAGCAAGAAACACATAAATATGTCAGCCATATCGGGTATCACTAGCTAGAATATTGTTTGTCACCTAAAAGACAAGGCAAATTGGTCTATTAGTACAGCTAAACCGAATAAAATGCTGATTAACACACATACATAATCTATATTAATGGAAGCACAAGCAGAAAACCAGAAGCAGCAAGGGAGTTGAGGATATTACATTTTTTGTTCGCAATGTGTTGATGACAGATGACTTTCCAACATTGGGATACCCAACGAATCCCACAGAAATGGCTTGCTTGTCACTTTTCAAGCGAGCAAATTGTCTCAGCACTGATAGAAGAGTTCCCTAAGTGCAACAAATAAAAGTAAACAAAATCAGCACATTGCACATAAAATCTGAAGTAGTATGGATAAATATAGTAACCTAAAGTGAAATAACATTAGGGCTTCTCCTATTAGCTTTTTTATGAGTTCTTATCTCATCTTTTAGACATGTAGCACGGTATGCAAACAGCAAACACAGAGAGAGAGAGAGAGAGAGAGAGAGAGAGAGAGAGAGAGAGAGAGAGAGAGAGAGAGAGAGAGAGAGAGAGAGAGAGAGAGAGAGAGAGAGAGAGAGAGAGAGAGAGAGAGAGAGAGAGAGAGAGAGAGAGAGAGAGAGAGAGAGAGAGAGAGAGAGAGAGAGAGAGAGAGAGAGAGAGAGAGAGAGAGAGAGAGAGAGAGAGAGAGAGAGAGAGAGAGAGAGAGAGAGAGAGAGAGAGAGAGAGAGAGAGAGAGAGAGAGAGAGAGAGAGAGAGAGAGAGAGAGAGAGAGAGAGAGAGAGAGAGAGAGAGAGAGAGAGAGAGAGAGAGAGAGAGAGAGAGAGAGAGAGAGAGAGAGAGAGAGAGAGAGAGAGAGAGAGAGAGAGAGAGAGAGAGAGAGAGAGAGAGAGAGAGAGAGAGAGAGAGAGAGAGAGAGAGAGAGAGAGAGAGAGAGAGAGAGAGAGAGAGAGAGAGAGAGAGAGAGAGAGAGAGAGAGAGAGAGAGAGAGAGAGAGAGAGAGAGAGAGAGAGAGAGAGAGAGAGAGAGAGAGAGAGAGAGAGAGAGAGAGAGCAGGAGAGGTAACTTAATGTAAGGCAATTGAGACAATAACCATGATGGGAGACAGAGGGAAGTGGTGTTAGAGGAATCTAACTTAACAGACTCTTATTTCATCAATACTGCCATGAAATTCAACACAATCAAGGCATCAACGTGAACAGAAGGTACCTTGCCAAATGATTTGTTGACGCTAGCATGAAATGCAATAGTTGGAAAGTCGTTTTTTAATACATTCAACCAACGGCTGAGCACCCACGAAGGAACCAAATCACACTGAAAAATCAAAGTAATGATAATGTTAAACAAAATCAGAAGAGGTAACACCTTCTAATTCAAGAAGACCCAAAACATGAGAAATGCAACCAACCTTGTTTAACAAAAGAACTAAGTGTTTATGTGTGCAATGCTCTTTCAAATGCTTCTCTAAGTGGTAACATCTTGTTCCTTGTGGATCCCTTGCATCCAAAACCTGAAATGGGGAGAAAAGCAGGGTTGAACTGGACAAGCATTAAGCAAATAATAGCACTAGAATAAAAAATAAACTTGTTTTCATAATTATCAGCCCAAGCAGATCTGCACATTTAATGCAGGAATTACCTTGATGTAAACATTGTCCTAACTTAACGAAAAAGAAAGCAGAAGCATAAAACAATCCCTGTTTACCATGTTACACTGTTCATCGTACAAGTAATGAAAAATAGGAATTCAATTGATATCCAAGAAAGGCAAGATTTGTAAGGAAAAGTACACAAATGAGATTAGTTATACTTTCTAAATCAATGGAAAAATAGAAACACCAACCTGGACAACAACATCTGAAGAGTCAATAACTTTGTAGAGCTCACCCCAGATACGTTTACTTTGACCCTTATCAAACATTGTATGCCGGACCAGGTCCCTAAAACCATCCCCTTCACTACCTTCTGCGGTAATGTCATCAGCATGCTTCTGCTGAAACACGTCTAAAGAGATGCAAACAAGTTAGATGCAGAACCATTGGAAATAAGAAAATGACCCCCAAAAAAAAATTCATACACATAAACTTGCAATTTTTTACTCAGAAATCCTCCGGTCTAAATCATACACAAAAACACTGACCAAATAATCAAGAAATAGAACGAATTGGTTATTACAACCAGGAATATCAAGCACATAAAAAATTCTCAGACAAGAAATAGTTACCCTGAGAACCATCAGCTTTCTTAGCTAAGGACTCATAATCTGCTGCGATGAGTTTTGGACGCTTCCTCTTTGTCTTAGGTCCAAATGCATCGGAAAATGACTCTCTCTCTAGGAGATGGACTCTGGTTTGCTTCACAGATTTTAAAAGCATGAACTTAGCAAACTAGAATACAATGATTAACTATGCCATCAGCCGGAAAAAGAAAAAAACATTTCAACCATAGGCTATCTTCTTCATCTGTTTTCATTAAGAGTGAGGCATGTCAATTTAGGAAATCTATAGAAAAATTTATTGTTCATTATAAGGTATTCACTAATTTTGAAGGGTTAAGTTGCCATTAAAATTTTTACAAGCCGGGGTTAGCCAATTTTTGGGTATGAAGATAATTGCAAGCTAAATAAAAAAATGAAAACCAGTGGCTTCAACATTGCATCTAATGAGGCAGCCCTAAAGAACTCTTTCTGTCTCTCCTTTTTTTTTTTTTTCTTTTTAAGTTAAGTCAGCCATGCATCGAAGCTTGGTGAATATCGCTCCGAAACTTATGTGAGCCAAGGAAATGGAACATAACTAGTACTTCAGCTCAGAATGTTATTTGTGCACAATTGTGATTTTCTGATTCCTTGTTAAAGTTTAAAAAAAAAACCTAGACTTTACAAAAGCATCATACCTTCTGATGGTCATTCAAGAGGGACAAGGGCAGTTGCTTCCCCTTCAAAATAACATTGTAGTTACTAGCCACCGTTTTACTGTGCTCCTCGCGGAAAATGTCAAGCTGCTGCTGAGATGCAACCCGAGTATTCCCTAAAAATGAAATTAGCAACAAAAAAATTCAACAAAAATAGAAAAGGCCATAAAAGCAGGACCGCCACAATTCAATGAATGACTGAAATTTTTTAACAACAGGCATTTTCAAATATAATTACCAAGAATTTGCAACAAGCTCTGTTACTCTAAAACCTCACACAAAAGCACTAAGTAAGATCTTAACTAGACTAGAAAAGTGTATCCATACGTATACGTATACCTACCGAACCAGCGGCGATCAGGTTGAATACGAGTGTTAGGCAGCTCCTTGGACTGGAAATCGTTCCTCAAGACCTTTCCCTTGCTGTCACGCTTGGGCCTCGTCTTGTACATTTTGAGCCGGCGAACCGTGGCCCCAGTACGCGCGTCCTTGCTCTTGCTCTTTCCATCGGTACGGTTCGCGTCCAGCGAGTGCTTCGGCTTCCCGGAGATGTTTACTTTCCTCTCTGTCTTCTTCACCATCTTTGCGGCCTGTTTGGTTGCCAAGAAAGTGACGGAAACTGCCGCGTTTTGTTTTGTGTAAAACCCCTTGGGAAATAGGGTTTCGAAAGAGAGAGAGTGGAGATGGAGGGACGAGAAATTATAAGTATTTTTTGTGTGACTGGAATTGGGTTGGTAAGTTGGGGGGGTTAACAGAAAAGTTTTAAGCCCAAATATCGGCCGGTTTTTATTTGGAGCGATCCAATAATATTGGGCCACAACCTTTTTTCTTCTTTTCGGATTTAACTTGGATTAGTTGAAAATGACACGTCACACACGTACAGGTAATGCCTTGGGTTTTGCCATCTTGGATTCCTTTGGCAAGTAGGTATTATATTTAATTTTCTTCAACCTCCATACTTTCTAAAATCTATTTCCTTATTTTTTTTGGGTTTTAATTATTTAATTATTTATATACCTAGTTCACAGAGAAAAACTCATTGACTTTCCCTGTTTGCCTTTCACCCAAACCTTCCTAAGGCAACAAGGTTAACAAAACCACACACTATATATACACAGTTATTAATGGTTCATAAGCTAAATTTTTTTTTTTGGGGTTAACCTAAAGCAGCTCTCTATAAGCACACTAACAAGATGAAGAGAAAAGCTTCAGAAGTAACAATGGAGCAGAAAGAAGCGAAGCAGTATAAAAACAGAAGGTACGTGAGCTTCTCAAAGAGGCGTAGCGGCCTGTTTAGCAAGAGTAAAGACTTCTGCAAAAAGTTTGAAGCAGAAATCGGCATTGTTGTACTCTCCGAAGCAGGCAGGAAGCAGGCAGGCCTTACTGGTCCCCGGACAACCCTTCCCTCGACGCCGTACTCGACCGCTTCATGCAATCAGACCAGGCACCTACTAACGCCATTGATTTCAAGGTCAAACCGCAAAAGAAGAGGAAGAGAGAGGAACAAGATAATGAGGTTCAGGGACAACTTGCGGAGGAGGTGAAATCATGTCGAGCAGTTAAGGACATGTTTTCGTTGAGAGACAAATACTTGGTGCTTCTTCAAGACTATACTAACGAGACGATGAAAGGTTCACATGTTTTGGAGAAGGGTAAGGCAAAATGTGTCTCGACCTCACCATCAGACCTAAGTTTTGAGGATAGTGTTTGGGTGGACATATGTTCTAGTTCAACCCTAAAGCTTGATAGTGAACATGATCACCGTCTTGGGAACAACAATGGTGTCCACGACGGCCGCAATGACGGGTGGTTTTGGGATGAGATTTTGGAAGATGGTTACACACAAGGTGTTCTGATGGAACCAATATCGAAATCCAAAGACGTTTTGTATGATTCAAACCCTAAATTTCGAGAGTGATCGTAATGTGTTTGATACTCATCATGGTAACATCAATGGGGGAGAAGGATCTTCTTGGTGCAAAGATTGGGAGGATGGTAAAGCGCAATGTGCCTTGATGCAACCAATTTCGAAATCCGAAGAGGTCTTGCATAATTCAACCCAAAATTTGGAGAGTAATCATAATGTTTTTATTGATCAACATGGCAACAACAATGACGATGATGGAACTTTTTGGGATAGAATTTTGGCATATGATAAGACTCATCAACTAGCAAATTCTGAAGACGTCTTGTTTAATTCAACCCCAAATTTTGAGTGTGTGATCGTCTTAACAACAAAAACGACGGCGATGACAACAACATATCTTTATGGGACAAAATTTTGGAAGAGGGTAAATCGGAATGTGTCTCTTTCCAACCAATATCAGAATCTGAAGACTTCTTGTATAATCCAAGCCTAAATTTCGAGGGTGATGATCGTAGGTTTGATCATTATCAAGGTGACAACAATGATGATGGGGAATTTTGTTGGAATCACTACTAAAAAAAACTCACACTACCTACTGATTTTGATTTGTCCCCTAAGTTGATTTTTGAGACAATTATTTGTCTCCACTAGCAATTGAGACTATGCAGCCACCATTGTTGTATCAGTGTCCTAGTTTGGCGTTACTATTAGTTATAGGGTACCATTTAGTGAGTCAGTTCTTCCCTATTTTCCCTTAAACAAATACATTTTTAAGATACAAGCCATTCAGTTAAGTCAACCCAAGTTTGCCTACTGATATTGGAATGGTTTCTTTTAAAATAGGGACGTATCAATTACATCAGTGAGCCATCTTGTACTATTCACGTTGGGTAATCAATCCTCATTCTATCATTAACTCATTAATAATATTATTTATATATTACATTTAAAGCCATCAGTCCCCATTCACATATATTAGTTAATTTTTTTTTTTTAAAAAGTGCAGTAATTTGAAATTAGTGCACTTTCAATATTGATTTCTATTTAATAATTTATAATAATAAAAAAGAATTTTGGATGAAATAGTCCAGTATACTTGCTCCTCACCAAGCCTCATCATCTCCATTTCAGGTTGCTCATTTTTCTTCCTCTACTCTTCATTTTGCACCCTTTGCTCTTCAAGTGCTTCTTGCATGGTCTGTACCTCTGTTCATACCCCTCTTTGCTAAGTTACTATCCCATCCCAGGCACATCAACCCATGACACCCCAGCTCCAAATCTTCTATGTTTCTTCAATTCGTTTGCTAAAATCAGCCTGCCCAAAATGCTTATATCAGTAGAAAATGGAGGCGGCTTGAAATGTATGTTAGTTCAAACATCTCTAACTTTAAACTTTAGAACAAACTGATATAGAATTTGGCAGCTGATGAGTACCTGCAATTGTAGCATCATCCCATCCTTGTAGAATGCTACCAATTGTAGTAGCAATGGCGACCATCACAGCTCCCCTCATCTTTTCACCAATGAATAAATGAGACCCCTAATATCAAACAAACCTGGACAACAACATCTGAAGAGTCAATAACTTTGTAGACCTCACCCCAGATACGTTTACTTTGACCCTTATCAAACATTGTATGCCGGACCAGGTCCCTAAAACCATCCCCTTCACTACCTTCTGCAGTATTGTCATCAGCATGCTTCTGCTGAAACACGTCTAAAGAGATGCAAACAAGTTAGATGCAGAACCATTGGAAATAAGAAAATGACCCCCAAAAAAAAATTCATACACATAAACTTGCAATTTTTTACTCAGAAACCCTCCAGTCTAAATCATACACAAAAACACTAACCAAAGAATCAGGAAATAGAACGAATTGTTTATTACAACCAGGAATATCAAGCACATAAAAAATTCTCAGACAAGAAATAGTTACCCTGAGAACCATCAGCTTTCTTGGCTAAAGACTCATAATCTGCTGCGATGAGTTTTGGACGCTTCCTCTTTGTCTTAGGTCCAAATGCATCGGAAAATGACTCTCTCTCCAGGAGATGGACTCTGGTTTGCTTCACAGATTTTAAGAACATGAACTTAGCAAACTAGAATACAATGATTAACTATGCCATTAGCCGGAAAAAGAAAAAAACATTTCAACCATAGGCTATCTTCTTCATCTGTTTTCATTAAGAGTGAGGCATGTCAATTTAGGAAATCTATAGAAAAATTTATTGTTCATTATAAGGTATTCACTAATTTTGAAGGGTTAAGTTGCCATTAAAATTTTTACAAGCCGGGGTTAGCCAATTTTTGGGTATGAAGATAATTGCAAGCTAAATAAAAAAATGAAAACCAGTGGCTTCAACATTGCATCTAATAAGGCAGCCCTAAACAACTCTCTCTGTCTCTCTTTTTTTTTCTTTTTAAGTTAAGTCAGTCATGCATCGAAGCTTGATGAATATCGCTCCGAAACTTATGTTTGCCAAGGAAATGGAACATAACTAGTACTTCAGCTCAGAATGTTATTTGTGCACAATTGTGATTTTCTGATTCCTGTTAAAGTTTTTTTTTTTTTTTTTTTTTTCTAAAACCTAGACTTTACAAAAGCATCATACCTTCTGATGGTCATTCAAGAGGGACAAGGGCAGTTGCTTCCCCTTCAAAATAACATTGTAGTTACTAGCCACCGTTTTACTGTGCTCCTCACGGAAAATGTCAAGCTGCTGCTGAGATGCAACCCGAGTATTCCCTAAAAATGAAATTAGCAACAAAAAAAAAATCAACAAAAATAGAAAAGGCCATAAAAGCAGGACCGCCACAATTCAATGAATTACTGAAATTTTTTAACAGGCATTTTCAAATATAATTACTGAAATTTTTTAGTTGGCATTTTTAAAAAATAACCTCTCGCATGCGCAGAAATGCGTGTGGAGAGGCCAATTTCCTCGAATGATGCAAATCACGGTTTGACACATATAAATTAGGAATTATAATCTTGTATAATTATAGGATTCCTGTATGAGAAAGTCTCAAAATAGCTTGATTTTTTTTTCACATGTCCATTTGAAGAGAGAATGTTAGCGTAAATCATTTTATTGATGTAAATTAGGAATTGCAATCTTGTATAATTGTAGGATTCCCATATTAGATGGGATTTGTATACTTGTACACATATAAATACCATCCTAGAAAGAAGAATAAACCACTCAGAATTATGCCACCCCACGCGGCTATACTATTTTTTAATAATAAAAAACCGAGAATAGCCGTGCGGCTATACGCTTTTTATTAAAAACAAAAACCAAGTATAGCCAATCGGCTATACTATTTGTAAACAAAAAGGACCCGCCTGGCGCTAGCGCACATTTCGCCACGCGTCACAAATAGTATAGCCGAGTGGCAATACTATTTTTAAATAATAAAAATCGTAGTATTAGCGTTATCCAAATAACTCTCTCTTCTCCCTCGCGCTGAGTCTGGGCCTCTTTGGCTGTGTTTCCAGACATGGGGCAGAAGACGAAGAAGCCAGGAAAAGGCAAAGAGAAAGCAGCGAAAGCTAAGGAAAAGAGAGCTCGCAGAGAGACTAGAAGCTCTCACTGAGGTTGACATCAATGCCATTTTGGTAATTTCATTCTCGAACTATGCATATATATATATATATATGTATGTCATTCTGTGCTTGTTAATTAGAGTTATGGATCATTTGAGAACAGCTAAAATAGTTTGGGGGAGTTTTAAACAGTGTTGGAAAAAAAATCGACCTACGCGGCCGATTTTTTGCAATCGTTGTTTGTGATTCCCATATGTATGTCATTTTGTGCTTGTTAATTAGAGTTATGGATCATTTGAGAGCAGCTGAAATAGTTTGTGGGAGTTTTAAACAGTGTTGGAAAAATCGGCCTTGGCGGCCACTAGCCGCTTGACGGCTGATTTTTCGCAATCGTTGTCTGTGATTCCCATATGTATGTCATTTTGTGATGTTAATTAGAGTTATGGATCATTTGAGAACAACTGAAATAGTTTGTAGGAGTTTTAAATAGTGTTGGAAAAATCGGCCTAGGCGGCCAATTTTTTCCAATCCTTGTCTGTGATTCCCACCCAAGATTCCTTTTTTGTTATTGTTTTGAAGATTCTGCTCCCTATTTCTATCTGATAGTTTATTTGCACCAAAGTTATGATGATTGTGGAATTTCAGAATTCCCATCTAAATTCATTGCAAGAATTTCCTAAACTGTATGTATTTTGCAAAATTTCCAAAATTTAAGGCTTTAATAATATATGTTATTTCCAAAATTTCCAACAGACCATATGGCACTATCATGGAGGGTGTCAAGTTGGGAGGGTTGTTGATAAAGGATATAGAGTTCTTGGTATTGATTCTCTGAGGGTTATTGATGATTCTCTGGGTGCTAATCCTCAAGCTACTGTCATGATGCTTGGAAGGCAAGTATACTTGGAAAACATATCATATATACATAATCTTCACGAAAATCTTATACTAATTGCTGCTTAAACCTGCATTTTGGTTTCGTTTGTTGTGCATGTGGTGCAGGTACTTGGGGCAAAGGATTCTGCATGACAGATTAGTCCATGGATCATAAAAGAAAAATAATGGTAGAGGTAGAGATATAATACTGAAGTTATTTTTGTTGTACAAAGTTGTCCTGCTTTGTGACTAAGCAAGCATGCAAAGTGACTTTGCCATGTGGCTTTGCACAATGCAGGGAAATAGTGTGATTTTATATAGGTGGAATGGAAGGTGGAAGCCATATATACAAGCAATTACTAATTTCCCTGATCCCTTTTGTTAGTTGTTGCTATATAGCTTTGTCTGAGAGGATGTTCTTGCTATGTGCTTATAATTTGGTTTGGGATACATAATTGTGATCATAGTTAGATCTATTTAATATTATTATTTTAACCAATGATCAGAAGCAAACCATTTTGATCCTACTCGCAATATGGAATTTGTGATTCCATCTGAATTATTTGTTTATTTGTTTCATTTTCTTCATGTCTCTGTTCTGTGTTTTCAACTTTTGAAACTTTACCTAGTTATATGTTCTTACAAAGTCTGAATTCAGTCCCCACCAGCCGAAGAGGTTATGCTAATCTTTTATGGTGCGTTTGGATGAGGAAATTTAAAAGTACAAAGCATTTCATAAATGACGGAATTTTAAATGACGGAAATTAATGTTCTAGAATTTGTAAAGTTTCTTGTTTGGGTGACGGATTTAAAACACGGAATTTAACATTTATTTGTAAAGTCTTCTATTTTAAAAACTCAATCCCTTGGGATTTTAGAAATGACGACTTTTAGATAGAATTTAAAGTTGGGATTTATGATCTCCAAATTCCATGTTTTTTCCCACGCGGAATTTCTAAATTTCTATGTTTTTTTATCCAAACACGGAAATTGGTTCATGTCAATTTAGAAATTTTGAGTTTTGTCAAAATCCCAAGTTTATTTCCCTCATCCAAATGCACCAATTTTGCTTTTGTTTTTTTTTTTTATCAAGTCATCCCACACTTTCTTTTCTATTTTCTTCTGTCTTCTTTCTCTGGATAAACCCATAACTTATTACTAGTCTACATACTCAAAGACTTTGTTCACCATTTTTAAAAATGATTTTGAAAAAAATATGGAGTTTGGACTCTCGGTTCTAGTGTAGTAGTATGGTTGTTAAGACTGATGGAAGGCGAATATTTAGATTTAAGCATTGAAGAAAAGTTGAGCGCAATAATGGCTCCAATTGATCTTCTTCATGCAGGTTCAAGTTTCAGAATGGAGGTAACATATATATACATATAGAATCTTTGCATGGACATTGAAACCTTTTCTTTGTTTTGATTTTTCCCACTACTATGAGGTTGCCCCATTAAATGGAATGTGTTCAATCATTTGTAAGATAATATCATCTGAATGGTGCAAACTGCATATATATAAATACTTTGACAATAAATATTATTTGAATATTCAATGAGATTCAACTAGCCGTAATTATTATGGTGGTTTATAAGTTTTCAAACCTTGATATTATCCGACTTTTACTTTTCCATTTTCTGTAACCTTGATATTTAAAAAATAAAAAAATAAAAAATAAAAACTGCTAAACCCAATGTTTAAGCCCATTTTACAAAACCCAACCCGTTAGGTCAGATGTATTCTTCTTCCCAGCGTAGTCTACACTCCTTCCTCTCACTGTTTCGACTTCATCTCTCTCTCTCGGTCTTTCTTCATAACAAGCAGCGCCTCAGTGCCACCTTAAGCGTCGCCGCCTCCTGCGAGCTTCAACCGGTCGACGCCTCAACGGCAAAACGCCAGCCCAGACCTTCCCAGGCGGGGTATGCGGGCGCTAGGCGGCCTAGGCGGCGTAGGCGGGGGCTAGGCGACATAGGAGGCATAGGCGGGCGTTAGGCGGCGCCCAACTCCCTGGCGGCTACTCCTTACGATTCGGATGAAATCACGGCGGCGCCCAACTCTCTTTTTCTTCTCATTCTGGTTCAGGGGAAATTAAGAGGTTATCAACTAAACAACATGGCATGCCCAGGCCAACCTGGGTTCATGCAGGACATACGAGTGGTGCAAAAGAAGATTATACATTAAAGTTTCACCCTATGGATTCTTCAGGGTCAATCTCAAAGTTCTCTGACGAGAGATTCTCTACAAAAGAAAGAGAAGTGCGGTTTGACTTACACCCAATGCAATCTGTGTTTTTGGGGTCTGATCGTAGATACAATACATACTGGCTTTTCTTGGGCCCTTATAATGCATATGACCCTGGACATAGAAGGGTTTATTTCGAATCTTCAGAAGATGGTCACTGGGAGGTGATTGAATCAGAAGAGGTATTATGCTGAACTTTTGTTATACGATCAATGTGATTGTAGTACATATTGCTTGACCTTGTATAAGTTATAATATTTACTTGCTTTTCTTAAACCAAATGCAGGCTCTGTGTGCTTTGTTGTCAGTTTTGGATGACAGGGGTAAACGAGAGGCTCTGCCTATTGAATCCATAGAGAAACGATGCCAAGCGATGTCAAGTAGAATGGTAAATAGTGATAGAATTGACAACTTGGCGCAATCTGATCAATCTGAACTGGATAGTGTTAGAGAAGACACTTATTCACCATTATCTGATGTAGAAAACAACTTCTCTGGAATTGCAAATGATTCTCTGCCTTCATCTGGAGTTGTGGTTCTTGAAGTTAGAAAGAAAGGAGAACAACAGAAACAGAAATGGACCCGAATCCAAGCATTTGATTCATGGTTGTGGAATTTCTTTTACCTATATCTTAATGCTGTCAAACATGGTAAACGATCCTATTTTGATACACTTACTAGATGTGAAAGTTGTCATGATTTGTATTGGAGAGATGAGAAGCACTGCAGGATTTGCCATACAACATTTGAGCTTCATTTTGATCTGGAAGAAACGTGTGCCATCCATGTAGCCACATGTAAGGAGAAAGAAGCGAGTGATACTTTTCCTAAGCATAAGGTCCTCTCATCACAGATCCAATCACTAAGAGCTGCAATGCATGCAATTGAGGTAACCCATCATTTGGATTTTAGCTTTCCATTTTCTGATATTTGTTTGTTATAGTAATGAAGATGTCCTCCAGTTAAAAAGATTTCAAGCTACGCATATCTTTGATAGACTGGAGGAGAATAGGACTTCAGTTGAGGATCAACCTAGGAATGAATTAAGTG